CAAAGGCTGTGGAGAGAATGGGGAGGCTGGAGGCCAGCCTGGGTACCAGCCCACCTGGTGCCCAGGGCCCTGCCACACCCCCAACCCTAGACCCCCAGGAAGGCGCTCAGCCCTCAGAGGTTGGACCTACAGTCCCCAGGACAGTCTGTCACTCCAGCTGGCATCAGCTACATGACTTGGTCTCCCCACTTGCTGTGAGAAGCTGCCAGAGGACAAGGGAGGGGGTTCCCCAGTGCCTCCATACTGAGGCCAGGCAGCCACTAGGCTGGGGAGATCCCTCCCACCAAACTCTCAGCTCTGCAGGAGTCAGCAGAGGGTCCTCCATTTTCACAGCCTCTAAGCTTTGGTATACTGTCCCCACAACACCGGTGGCTGCAGGCAGGCACCCCTGGCCCCAGGTGATGGATGGAGATCAGGATCTCACCTGTTGCTGGGTTTCTCAACCAGTGTACCAGGTGGAGCTGGGATTTGAACCCAGGGCTGTGTGACCCCAGGAGCTGGTCTAAGGAGGGTGAGTCCTCCTCCTCCAGGCCAGGAAACACCCACCCTAGGGCTTGGGAAGCTAGGCCAGGCCTTTCTACCTCATTGCCCTTGCTGAATTGGTCCCTCTGACCCCAATGTCCTAGCAACTGTTACTCATTTGTCGAGGTCACCCAGAGGACCCCTTCTCCAGGAAGCCCCCAGCCATTTACAGGCACCATTAGACTCTACCCATTACCCAGCCAGCCAGGATCTCAGGGTAGCCTTCCCCACTATCTCCAGCTAGACCAAGGCCCAAGCAGCAGACCCAGAATTACTTATCCCTGTTCATGGATGTGCTCAATAACTTCATTCTCTCCATACACTCTTAACAGGCACCCACAGTGTGCCAGGCCCTTTGCTAGAGACACAGATAGGAGAAAGGCCACCAAACTCTCTTTCCTTTTAGTAAACCTAACTGAGTCCTTGTATATGCAGTCTCTGTGCTAGCCAACAGCTCCCGCAGCACTGCTCCGGTCTGAGCCCTCTGGCTGTGGGGCAGCCCCAGCACCCAGAGCTAGACAGACTCTACTGTAGTGACAGAGACAGCAGGCCTGCAACAGTCCTCAAACAGCCTGAGCTGAAAGGAAGAATGCTAAGCCAGTCTCCCACATTAACAGTTTGAGCTGCTACTCAGTGCTGTGGCCTGTGACGGCCTACAGACTGCTCAACAAGAGTTCTGTACGGAGTAGCGCAAGGGCTGTCTCTGAGGAGCCAGCATAGCCTGTGGTGAGACCCGGGGGAAACAGCTGGAAGAACTTCTCTCTCTGTATCCCCCCTGATTCTGGTCATTGGTCCTACACTGAGTTCTTGTCACCTGCCCACAATATGCCAGGCTGTGGCTCAGTGACCATCATCTTACTCCTACATCTACCCATCCCCAAGAAGAGCACTTTATTCAATAAACAGACAAGAAGCACTCAATAGATGCCAGGCTCCATGCCTGGCATGGAAGGCTCAGAAATAAAGGGGACACAGCCCTGCCCCTGCAGTCTCAAGAGAGGGCAGCTGTGACCCAGGCAAATACCACACTCTACCAGGGAAAGCGGTAGCATTGGGAGCCAGAGGAGGTGTTTCACCAGCCTTGGCGAAGGGGGTTTGTCCAGGAAGGATCCTAGGTGGCGATTCCTGAGCAGAGAGAGTCTTGAAGATCAAGTAGGAGTGAGTGAGATGGAAACAGGGAAAGCACACCAAGCAAATGGATAGATGCAAAGTCCCAGGGGCAGAGAGAACTGCTGTATCTACACCCCAAAGCCTTCATGGAGCTAATGGTGGACACTGCCTCTCCTTTCTCTGTAGGCTGCCCACAAGGCCCATCCCAAATCAGAGAAACCCCCCAAACACAAGCTTTGGCTTCCTTTCCCCCAAGTGCCAAGGCCAAGGCCCCAGATTCCACCTGGTAGCTGATGGAATATGACCACCAGTGGGAATGACCAGATACCTGGTCAGTCAAACAGAACTGGGTAGGCGTGGGGGGTATCCCTAGAGCAGGGCTGGTATCAGCAACTCTGCTCCCCCCACCAAGCTGCTATGAAAAACCCTCTCACCAGCGTGTATCACATCTGCCTCTGCCCCAGTGACAGTGAGTGGGCCCGCCTGCTGGCAAGGCTACCCAGATGGGAAGGAGGCAGTATGCGGGTGGGGCAGCAGGCGTGGTTCTGGCTGGGAGAGAAGGTTGGCAATTGCCCAGCCCGAGTCCCGTTGCCTGGACAGAGTCCTTTCCGCTACATGGGACAGGCGCCCAGCATGCTGAAGCTGCCCCGGCTGGGCTCCCATCACCTCTTTGTACCTGGATGGGAAACGAATGGCCAGCCACAACTCCTCCCCAGGCAGCCACAGCAGGTTGGGTCCTGAATTTCAGGCACACTTGGTCTCCCAGCCCATTGCAGTGCACCCTCTGCAGGGTTTCAGCCCCCACTCCACACTCCCAACAGGAACCTCCATGAGGCCCCTATTCTTCCCATCCTGGACCCAGGCACTCCTCTGGCTCTAACCCAGGAAGCCCATTTCACAGAGGAAGCAAAGCCAGAGAAGCAGGATGCTGAGATGGACTCCCCCGCCTAGAAAATGCTGAGCCAGACCCTGCACCCCTGGTTGCTGCCAGCCCAGCATGGGAGGGGTTGCCAGGCTCAAAACCTGAGCTGGGCTCCAAGGAGCAAGACTGATGGGATAGGGTAGGGCCACAGAACAGGACAGGAGCCCTGTGCCCCCAAGCCCCATGGGCCATTCCCACATCTCCTCAGCCGTCACTATCGGCCTGAGGAGCGGCTGGCTAGAGTCCTCTGGCCGGGCGCGGGGAGCAGCAGTCCCGGAAGCACCTTCTCCAGGCCCAGCGGGAACAGCGACGGGCATTCCACCGCGGCGCGTCGACACCCACTCACCGCCGCTGCCGCACTCGCAGCAGAGACAGGAAGAGGCAAGCGCCCAACGCAAAACAGCCCAGGAGGCTGGGCCGCCGCCCCTTCCCGCCCCTTCGCTTCCTCCCCGCAGCGGCGGCGGAGCGGATGCCATTTTGAAACCTCCGGGGCTGTGCCCCCGAGGCCAGGCCCCCAGGGACGGTCAACAGATGGGCCCCATGATGGAAGCCATGCTGACCCTCAGCCATAGGCCCAGCATGAAAAGCTCTGCTTTTCACAGCCTGGGGACCCCATAGCAGCTCTGGGGCGAGGGGCCACACCCCCCCCAACATACGCTGTCCAGTCTTCCTACGCTGCTGCGAGGGCCTCCCTCCCCCCAACCCTTAAACGTCTGCAAATCACGCTGCCACTGGGCACCACACTTGCTCCCAGTGGGAAACTGGAGGGGACAACTACGTGGCCCACAGTCTTTGCAAAAGTCCACCATAGATGCCCACCCCTAGCAGGCCCCCTCAACTCCTCATCCAGTTGGTCACTCCCCCTCACAGGGCCTCAAGATCCAATAAGCCCACACACTCCTAGAGGCCATGTCCCAGACTTTTCAGCCTAGAAGGGGTGCGGGAAGCCCAGCACTGCTCAGCGGATCTACTCTGCCTGCCGGGACAGCAATATGTCGGCTGTCTCACCACTTCCACTTCCCCCCACCCCTCAAGCAGCCACCATCTTCCCTGGCCTTGGACGCACGGCAACCCAAACTCCTCCACACACTCTCCTACTCCCCAGACCACCCGCCCCTCACCGGGCCTAACAGGGCTTAGAAACTGAGAAACACAGAGCCAGTGGGATCTCCCTGGGAAGCTTAAGGCCTGGCCCCCTTCCCTAGCATGACCCGTGGAGCCTCAGTCCAGCCCCTTAAGGGTCTGGGCTCCCTCCTCCCAGCCCAGCCCAGCCCAGCCCACCCGGTGCAGGAGGGGTGGGGTAATCTGGGGAAGGCCAGAGCGTGGGAGAGGATTTAAGGGAGAGGGAGCAGAGGATTTAAGGAGTGATGCCTGCAGAGAGGGACTTGGTAGGCCAGATGCAGGGAGCAGGGGTCTCTAAAGGTTTGGGGGTTCCAGCGGGAGGGGGTGCTCATGAGCAGTCATGGTTACCCACTTGAGAGGTCCTATGGAGTCAGGGCGCACAGGTGGAGGATACACGGTCCAGAGTAGGGATGGGCCACAGAGGGGGAAGGAAGGAGTGGGTGGGGGCCTGGCAGGGGCCCCCGGGGATACTCATGCCCAATAGGAATAGAGGGAGCAGGTGAGGGAAACAGGTGGTGCCTGAGGGTAGGGGCCGCGTGCGGTTCTGGGGCTTTGGGTAAAGTCTACGGAAGGATGGAAGGACACGGCAGGGGCTCTGAGGGTCTGTGAGTTGATGAGCAAGGGTGGATGGTCAAGCAGGGTTCTGGGCAGCTAGTGTTGAGGCACTGGTGTCTGGGTTTGAGGGTTTGGGGTCTGGGATGAATTGAAAGTCTGATCTAGAGTCTGGGCTATGGATCAAAGGTCTAGGCCAACCCAGAGTTTTGAACCACTATTTGGGTGTCCTGGCCAGGTCAGATCCGGGGATTCACATCCAGGTGTGGGAGTTCAGACAGAGTCTGGGAGTTCGAAGCCTTAGTCTGGAGGTCACAATCCTCGTCTGGGGATTTAGGCTGGGAATGGGGGGGGGGGGGGTCCCAGCGCTGGGCGTGGCCTCACCCAACAGCAGCAACTTCACCTCCCGCGCCGCTTTCTCGCCGTCTTCCCGCAGATTCTTGTCGATCATCTTGGAGCGCTCGGCCGCCGCCTTGTCCTCGGCGCTCACAGTGCAGCCCATCCCGCCGTCCGCCGGCCCGGCCGCCGCCCGGCCCCTACACGGCCCACGGCCCGGCTCGGCCCCGCCCGACCCACTCCGCTCCCGCCGCCGGCCCTCTACGGGTAGCTTTCGAGTCGGCAGTTCCGAGCGTCTGCGGGCGGTGCCTTCCAGGCCTCAGCGCACCGACGGCTGGGCGGGCCGGGGGTGGAGCCGGAGCGAGCCAGGCCGGCGACTGGGCTGGGGCGGGTCCAGAGGCGGGGCTATAGGAGATCTGGGGACGGAGATTGGCTTGAGGGCGGAGCGAAGGAGCAGTAAGGCGCAGCTCAGGCTCGGGCCCGGGCTGGAGGCGGAGCCACGCGAGGGATAGCTGTAGGGGTAGAGCCAAGCTCAGAGGGATAGGGCTTGGGGCGGGCCGCAGGCTGGACCGGGCTCCGATTGGGTGTGGAGCGCCTGGAGCTCCGCAGCCCGACGGCGGGGGCGGGAGGATCTCGTAGCCCGAGGGTGGGGATCCGGTGCACCTCGCGGGCAGAGCAGGAACCAGCTCTCTGCGCTTCTGTGAGTTGGGCTAGCAGGGTGGAGAAGGCGTGCCTTCGTAACTTGTTAAAAGTTAATGAACCTAATAAACTTGTTTCGGGATCTACAGAGCCCCCAGAGCCTCTCTGGACTGGGGCTTTCTCCGTCTTAAGGCAGGTTTGGCCCCTTCTCTCTCTATGTTGCAGTTTTGCTTTTTTTTTTTTTTAAAGTCTCTTACTACCTCTAGACCTTTGCCCAGTCTGTCTCCCTCAGCTGGGGTGCCTTCTCTAGTCATCGAAGGCTTATCCATCCTTCTCTGATCTTCTAGGAGGCAGCCCCATGCTGGTAGCCATCCTGGACTTCAGCCTGGGACCTGGCAACCAGGACAAGACAGAAGGAAATAGAAAGAAAGAGAGAGAGGGAAAGGGATATGCCACCTGACTTCTGGAAACATAAGTGGCCGTGATCTTATGGCTGTCCCCACTGGACAGTTGGCTGCAACCCTAAAGCTGGGCAAAGGTAAGGTGGAGGCAGCAGTGTTTCCAGCAGAACATTTCGTCTTTCCAATCCTGTTCTCTGGAAGGAGCCTACAGCCCCAACCTCTCATGGATATTTGAAGGGACTGCCAAGGGTTACCCAGGAAGGTGTCCTGCGTGGCCCCAGTGCCATGAGCCAGGGAGGCCCCAGCCCAAAGACAAGGAAGTTCCACAAAGCCAGGAGGGGAGCTGGCCACCAATGCTTGGTCAGCAATGCTTGGCCATCCACAGCTCCCTGTTCAGCACAGACTCCCTCCTTACCACACTGGCATACATCTTGTTTCAGCTCCCAGTCCTCAGGCTGTCAGCTCTCCCTGCAGTGTCTGTGTATCCCTATCTGAATGGTTCCTTTGTTGAGGAGCCATTGCTCTGTAAGTCTTCCAGTGGTGCCCCTAGAGCTCCCTCCTGCTTAGAACCAAGGCTCAAGCAGGCCCTGCCACAAGCATGTAGCAATCGTGGTGAAAACACATACTGCCCGCCCAAGGACACAGACACTCAGAGATATGCTCTATCCATCCATACACAGGCCCAGCCTCCAACATGCCTCAAATCCACACTGTAAAAATGGGTGCACATAGCCAAGAACACAGCCTGTCCACACAGAGACTACAAACCCAGCTCCAAGACTGGCTTCTTCCCCCACCAGCCCCACCCGGTGCTTGATCCTCCCTCCTCAGGCCTCCCCAGCCTGCTCCTAGCAACAGCCAACAGCTCCTGCAGTTGCTGGGCAACAGGAGAACCTGTCAGCCCCTTGGAGGCCAGGCTCACCAGAGGTGGGCAGACACAAACCCCAATCAATAGAGGCAGGGCAGGATGGGGCCACTGGGAAGCATGGCCTCCCCCAGCCCCAGGCCAGGTGGTGTGGTCCTTGCACCCTTCCCACCAGTTAGCCACTCCCTGCTAGTTATGAGTTCTTCCTAGAGAGTCCAGCTACCCCTGCTTCCACCCTCCAGCTGCTCCCTCTCCTCCATGGGGGTCCCCAGGGCTATGGCTAGGCCTCTGCTTGCTACTCCAGTCACATACCTCCTATTCCAGGGGTTCAGAACCCCACATGGTCATCTCCAGCCCAACTTCTCCCCTGATCACCAGCCCCATGTCCACCACTACTCTGACGCTCCCCCAGACATTTCCAGTACCCCCAATGGCCTCTCCTCCTGAGCTCTCTACTTTGTGGCCTCTCACCAGCCAGAGCCATGACCCCCCACTTCCTATCCCTACATCCTATCAGTTTCTTCCCCTCCTCAACTCCCCCTCAAATACATCCCCATTCTCCAGCCCTACTGTTCCTTATTCTAGGCCTCCAGGCTTCTCCCTGGCTCTCCTGTTTTCCCTACAATCCATCCTTTACTGGGCGACCAAGGGGATCCTGCTGAAAGAAATCACATCACTCTCTTGCTCACAGACCTTCTGTGGCTCCCCAGTGACCTGGGGATAAAGTCCATACACACTGCTTTGGACTGTGCAGGAGGCAAAAGTGGTTGAGTGGCAGTTGACGACAAGGGAGCAGTCTGCAAACTTGCCTGCTGCGTGTTACTTTGAACAAATACCAGAAACTCCTTGTGCTTCAGTTTTTTTTCTTTTCTTTTTTTTTTTGAGGAAGATCAGCCCTGAACTAACATCTGCTGCCAATCCTCCTCTTTTTGCTGAGGAAGACTGGCCCTGAGCTAACATTCGTGCCCATCTTCCTCTACTTTATATGTGGGATGCCTGCCACAGCATGGCTTGATAAGCAGTGCATATGTCCACACCCGGGATCCGAAGCAGCGAACCCTGGGCCGCCAAAGCAGAACATGCAAACTTAACCACTGCGCCACCAGGCTGGCCTCATGTGCCTCAGTCTTCTTTTTTTTTTTTTTCCTTTTCCTCCCTAAAGCCCCCCAGTACATAGTCGAATACTTTTAGTTGTGGGTCTTCTAGTTTGGGCATGTGGGATGCCGCCTCAACATGGCTCAATGAGTTGTGCCATGTCTGCGCCCAGGATTCGAACTGGCAAAACCCTGGGCCGCCATAGCGGAGCACGAACTTAACCACTTGGCCATGGGGCTGGCCCCTCAGTTTTCTTATCAGTAAAATAGGCCTCACGGTAATATCTAGCCACTAATGCACTAGGTGAGGTCAAGACCAAGGGAGGAAATGTAGGTAAGATGTTCAGAATGTGCATGGCACATGGAAAGCCCTCAATAGGGGTGAGTTGTTATAATAGCGATTTCTGCAAGGCCCTGTAGGGGCTGTCCCTGCCCAAGGTCCACCTCATCTCCCTCCACTTGCCACATACCAGCACTGCAGCCTTGATTTGCCTTGCTCTCCCCATCCTCTTGCTCCTCCTCCCCCCATTCTTCCTTCCCATCTTTCATTCCCTGCCTGTGAGCTGGGCCTCTCTGACTCCCATTGTCCTGGGGCTTTGCACTCCCCAGCCAGGTCCCACTATCCTGGTGATGAGTCTCTCCCCTCCTGAGTCTCTGATTCTAGACCTCTCTGCAGCATAATTCTTGAGGATGGCAGGTAAATATTTGTCAAGTTAAATGAATAAATCACACCAACTCTACCCCACCCTTCCAGAGGTGCCCCATCCTGGAGCTGGGAGAGGTGTAAACAACTAATCATGCTGCCACTATAAAAATATCCGCCATGGTAGTGTGTGCAGAGAAGGGAGAAACTAATGGTGACTGGGAAGGTCAGGGAGTCTTCCTGGTGGAGGTGATGTGGGGAGTGCTAGATGGGGAAAAGCACTGGAGCAGAAGGTTCCAGGAAGAGGGAACAGGGAGGTGGGACTGGGAGAGTGGGTTGGTGAAGGTCCAGAGAGAAAATCAAGCATCAGAGCTGGAGAAACCGCTTGCTCTGAGGCAACTGAGGCTCAGAGTGGCCAGGACCCATCCAGGTCATCCAGTGAGGGACATCACAGGCATCCTGCTTCCTTCACACTTGGGAACCCAGGAATCCTTTCGAGAGATGTAGTTTTTGGGGCAGAGGATGGCTACCTAGCTAGGGCCTCATGGGCACCAGAGGAGGCATGACTTGTCCTGTGCATGCTGGTCCAGCATCACCTGAACTAGACTATAACGGACAAAGAAATGACATCCAGCAGAATTGAGGGCTGCACCATGGCTGGAATGGAGAAATGGCAGCTGCCAGCTCACCCGGACAGCCAGAATAGCCTTGGGACTCACTAAAGGCCACAGGGCAGGTCCAGCTTATCCTGAGTTCCTATGTGCACCAGGCTGAGCAGGGTGAGGAATGGAGACCCCCTCAGTGGACTGTGACACCTCAGCCCACAGGCTCCAGAAAGGGGAAGCTGCCAGTACTTCCCCAAAGGCAGTTTCGGGGTCTGTGTGTCTGCCCCCCCCCCCCAGAGTTGAGGAACAGGCAGGACTCCACAGGGATACCCAAAGTCCAGGATCCTGACCACACCACCTCCATGCCTCCCAGGTGGCAGGGAATCCTTGGCAAGACCCTGTGACCACCAAATCACAGCCTTGCAGAGAGGGCCTCAGCAGCTGCTGCTTGCAGATCTCAGTGGCTCCCTCCCTGCAGCCCTGAGCCAGGCTCCACCTCCTGGTACATCCCCTGCACTTCCCCCTTCCTACTTCTAGCCCAGCAGCAGTTCTGAGAGTGGAGTCAGCTATCCTGCCCTCTCAGCTCCTTCCTCCCAAACCTCTCTTCCCAAGCTTCTCTTCCCCCCGGAAGGAACAGTTTCAAGCCTTGGAGGCCTTGAGGTCCAGGGTCTCCCTTCCTGTTCATCCACCTCCTTCAGAGATAATTGGCTTTGACCTGGAGAACTCAGGCCCCAGCACTCCTTGCTAGAAGTTTCTGGATGTGCTAGGGGGCTCTACGTGACACAGAGGCAGGATGATCTGGGAGGAGGAGTCATCTGGTCAACTACTATTTGCTGTGAACCTACTGTGTGCCATTGTGCTGAGAACCCTAGGGTGAGGGAGGCAGCTGGGACCCTGCCCTCCAGGAGCACAGGCCAAACAAGTAAACAGGGAAATGAACTTTACAGTTTCAGAGGAACTCAACAGGGTGACATGAGAGCCACTGGGAGGTTGTATGCAGGAGGGAACAGTCTGAGGAGGGGACCTTTAAATGATGAGAAGAGACCAACCATGTGACGAGCCAAGAGAAGAGAGTGATTAGGCACAGGCAACAGTGAGTGCAAAGACCCTGGGGCTGGAAGGGGCTGGGAGTTCCTAGAACAGAAAAGAGGCCAGCCTGGTCAGAATAGCGAGAGCAAGAGGGACAGTGGTGTGAGTGAGGACTGCTATAGGGCATTACTGAGGAGTAGGGCAGGCAGAGGGTTCTCAAGGCTCTAAGAGATGCTGAGGTAGGGGTGCATATGAGCCTGCAGCAGGCAGCAGCATCTCCAAACCAGTGACCTATGTCTGGCCCTGCAAATCCAAGTGGTCCTGGCATTCAGGGTGCTACTGATATGATGGGCAGAAAACTGTCCAGTGCCTTGGCAGGGGACCCAGGGAGCCCTCAGGGCTTTGGGGCCAAGTCTGAGCTGAGCCCCCCTCCTTGTCCTTGAAGAGCCCATGGTCCAACCTGCTACTGTGTCTGCCACATACGCAGCCTCTAAAGGCCACCTCACCTGGGAAACTCAGGGTCCTTAGAGGGCCTAGAAATAAAAATCAGCTCTATCCCCAGGAGCCACTCCTCTGCTCACCTCACTGCCCAGCCCTCCTGTCAGGCTATCTGAAGGCTGGGGCTTAGAGCCTCTCCTGCAACTCGTTAGGGCCTTCATTAGCACTGCTTCCTGGAATTTAATTGAATGAAGGGGCAAAAACAGCTCTAATGAAGGTGATGCAATAGCAAGCAGCCCATGAGATGCCTCCAAGGCCCAGCCACCTGGGGCTCAGGGGCTTCCTATAGATGGTGACTGGGACTAGAGGGGCAAGAGAAGGGAAACCTCTCCTGGGAAGGATGCTGGTCACTGAGCCCTGGGAGCATGGGACATTGCTCTGCCATACTGCAGGGAGCAACTGC